TCTCCTTTCCTTCTCCTTCTCCTTCTCCTTCTCCTTCTCCTTCTCCTTCTCCCTTTTCCGTTTTCCTCCTCCTCTTTTTCGCCTCTTTCCTCCTCCTCCTCTTCCTCCTCCTTCTCCTCCTCGCGTCGACCGCGTGTGCGTTACGGACATGTGGCCCCACCCTCTTCCGGGGCGAGGCCCTGCCCCCGTGGTTCTGAATTGCAGCCGAGGTGTTGAAGTGAGGACCACCCTGGCCTCAGGACGGGCTCTTGTTTTCGCGCCGCTCTTCATATTCAGGTCGGGGAGCCTGTTCGTTGCCGAGGCTCGACGTGTCTAGAAAAGCCCCGTCCTTCCTTATCGGGAGAGTCCTCCCTCCTCGTCGTCGTCGTCCTCCCCCTGCATACTACTCTCCTCTCTCCTCTGATTCTGTCTGGCGAGTCTCCCGTCCTCTCTGCGTATTGTTTTGACACAGGATTTCACTATTTGGTTTTCCTAAGTGTTTTTCCCAAACATCCTGTGGTGTTGGGTCCTCGTTTTGGAGAAACGGTGCCCCGCGTTCCTCTCCTCTCCTCCTCTCCTCCTCCTCCTCCTCCTTCCTCCTCCCTCCCCCCCTCCTTGCTTCTGCCTTCCACATGTCCATCCCTACATACCCCTCACGCGTGTCGTGACCCCATAGGAGCTCCACCGAAGAAGGCCACAGTGGCGGTGTCCACATGCGTCCGCGCCATTCATTTCGGCGCACACCTTTCACGTTTCGCTGCCCCATAGGAGCTCCACCGAAGGCCCCAGTGGCGGTGTCCACATGGGTCCGCGCCACCCATTTCGGCGCACCCCTCACACGTTTCGTCGCCCCATAGGGAGCTCCACCGAAGGCCCCAGCGGCGGTGTCCACATGCGTCCGCGCCACCCATGTCGGCGCACCCCTCGCAGGTTTCGTGGCCCCATAGAGAGCTCCACCGAAGGCCCCAGTTGCGGTGTCCACATGCGTCCGCGCCATCAATTTCGGCGCCCCCCTCACACGTTTCGTCGCCCCATAGGGAGCTCCACCGAAGCCACCAGTGGCGGTGTCCACATTCGGCCGCGCCATCCATTTCGGCGCACCCCCATCGTTTCGTGGCCCCACAGGGAGCTCCACCGAAGGCCCCAGTGGCGGTGCCCACATGCGTCCGCGCCATCAATTTCGGCGCACACCTCACACGTCTCGTGCCCCCATAGAGAGCTCCACCGAAGGCCCCAGTAGCGGTGTCCACATGCGTCCGCGCCACCCATGTCGGCGCACCCGTCACAGGTTTCGTGGCCCCATAGGGAGCTCCACCGAAGGCCCCAGTGGCGGTGTCCACATGCGTCTGCGCCACCCATTTCGCCACACCCTCGCAGGTTTCGTGGCCCAATAGGGAGCTCCACCGAAGGCTCCCACGACGGTGTCCACATGCGTCCACGCCACCCATGTCGGCGCACCCCTCACGCGTTTCGTGGCCCCATTGGGAGCTCCACCGAAGGCCCCAGTGGCGGTGTCCACATGCGTCCGCGCCACCCATGTCGGCGCACCCCTCACACGTTTCGTGGCCCCATACAGATCTCCACCAATGACTGTATTCACAACTGCAGTACTCTCAACTGCATATGGTTGGGTCCTTCGCCAGGCCGATTCAATCCGGTCGTTCCTGGTTCTTCCAACATGGTGCTCCCGCTTCAGCGCCGCCCTCATTTCCACGCTTTGGTCATTCAACATCGTGCTCCCGCTGCAGCGCTGGCCTCGTTCCCGCGCCTCAGGAAGGCACTTGGCAATCGAAAGCGCCCACATCGAGCATGCACGGTTGCGGAGGACATGGAGCCAGCATTCCGGACAGGCCCTCTTCTCTCGTAGACAGGCCACTTACCCTCCAAGTCATATGGTGCCATGCCACAGCATGCAATGCGAGGCTGTGTTGCGCACCGCGGTGCGATGCAATGCTTCGCGTTGCTATGCTTTGTGATGCAATGCTGCACCACGCAATGCCACGCCATGCTATGACATGCTATGCTCTGCCGTGCTCTTCTACGCCATGCTTTTCCATTCATCGCGTGCCATCTCGGGATCATTGCCCTGCTCGACATCCGACTGTACGCATAGATAGGAGATCTACGCCATGGTAAGGGATGGGAGGGAGAGGTAGGACGTCAGACGTGACGCTAGCGCACCTAGCTTGCCTCCCTCCCCTCACCCTCCCCTTCTCCCTCCCCTTCCCCTCCCGTCCTTTTCCTCCCCACCCTCCTGGGGCCTGGCTCCGGCCCCTCCCCCTCCCCTCCCGTCCCCTCGTCGGTGCCCTCTCTCTTTGCGGCCCCTCCCCCGAGAGGTTCTCGAGCCCCGAGAACCCGATGCATCGGCAGCTCGCCCCCGGCGGCAAAGTCTTCCTGGTGGCTCCGGGGTGGAGGGCGGCGTGGCCGTGTGGGTCGGCGCGCGCCCCCGCGCGCGCCTGGGGTTGGGGGGGCGCGCAGGGGGTGCAGGGACAGGGGGGGGGGAAGGCAGGCAGGGTGGCAGTGGATAGGGGAAGCGGGGGCCAGGGCAGGGGGGGGGGGGGACGACAGGCGGGGCGGGGAAGGGGGCAGGAGGGGGCGGCAGGAGGTCAGGGGGGCGGGGGCAGGACGGGGAAGGCGGGAGGGGCGGGGGCAGGAGGGGCGGCAGGGTGGCAGGGGCGGGCGACGGGAGGGGTGGGTGGGGGAGGCGGGGGCAGGAGCGGCCCCCATGGGAGAGAGGTGGGCGACTCGGTGATCGGACAGATCTGCCAGCTGGGCGCGCCGGGCCTCTGCTGCAGCAGCGCGCGCCCCTGCACGACGAAGGAGCCGCCCTTCCGCAGGCCGACCGCTTTTGCCCTCTCCTCCTCCGGCCTATTCTTCCTCTCCGTGTTCTCTTTCTTCTCCTTTGCGGCTCGACTCGATGACGGCATGAGAACCCTTCATGAATGCTGCCACGTTTTTCCCAACCAACCTGTGTTGTTGGGCCCTCGTTTGGAAGAGACGGTCCCCGCGTCCCTCCTCCTCCTTCTCCTCCTTCTCCTCTCCTCCTCCTCCCCCTCCCTCCTCCCCCTTTTCCCTCCTCCTTGCGTTTCACCCACCCAGTACAGCGCTTCTTGGCCCCATAAGGGGGCTCCACCGAAGATCATTTTGGCACCGCCCGCATGCGTCTGTCACCACCAAGCACAGCCCTTGCTCCCTGCGTTTCGCCCACCCAGTACAGCGTTTCGTGGCCCCATAGGGGGCTCCACCGAAGGCCCCAGTGGCACCGCCAGCATGCGTCCGCCACCACCCAGCACAGCCCTTGCTCCCTGCGTTTCACCCACCCAATACAACGTTTCGTGGCCCCATAGGGAGCTCCACCGAAGGTCCTAGTGGCACCGTCCGCATGCGTCCGCCACCACACAACACAGCCCTTGCTCCTTGCGTTTCACCCACCCAGTACAACGTTTCGTGGCCCCACAAAAGGGGGCCCCACCGAAGGTTCAAGTGGCACCGCCCGCATGCGTCCGCCACCACCCAACACAGCCCTTGCTTCCTGCGTTTCACCCACCCAGTACAGCGTTTCGTGGCCCCATAGGGGGCTCCACCGAAAGTCCCAGTGTCACCGCCCGCATGCGTCCGCCACCACCTCCACCGGACCGTCCGCATGCGTCCCACACACACACAGTTTGGTATCTCCACCCACCCAGTACAGCGTTTCGTGGCACCATAGGAAGCCCCACCGACCGCCCGCATGCGTTCCCCCCCACCCAGTGCAGCGTTTCGTGGCTCCATAAAGAGCTTCACCGAAGAATCTATTCACAATTGCGGTGCCACCAACTGCATATGGTTTGGTCTTTCGCCAGGGTTATTTTAATTCCCAACCATCCTGTGGTGTTGGGTCCTCGTTTTGAAGAGACGGTCCCCGCCCTGCGTTCCTTCCTCCTCGCCCCCCCCCGGTGGGGGATGGCCACATGCGTCCGCTGGCCCCATAGGGAGCTCCACGTAAGGCCCCAGTGGGGGTGTCCACATGCGTCCGCCACACCCAGTATCGCGTTTCGTGGCCCCATAGGGAGCTCTACCTGTGGCCCCAGTGGGGGTGGCCACATGCGTCGGCCACACTCAATACAGCGTTTCGTTGCCCCATAGGGAGCTCTACCTGTGGCCCCAATGGGGGTGGCCACATGCGGCCGCCACACTCAGTACAGCGTTTCGTGGCCCCACAGGGAACTCCACCCAAAGCCCCAGTGGGGGTGGCCACATGCGTCCGCCAGACCCAGTACAGCGTTTCGTGGCCCCATAAGGGGGCTCCACCGAAGGCCCCAGTAGGGATGGCCACACGCGTCAGCCACACCCAGTGCAGCGTTTCGTGGCCCCATAGGGAGCTCCACGGAAGGCCCCAGTGGGGGTGGTTATGTGCGTCCGCCACGCCCAGTACAGCGTTTCGTGGCCCCATAGGGAGCTCCACCCCAGGTCCCAGTGGGGGTGGCCACATGCGTCGGCCACACTCAGTACAGCGTTTCATGGCCCCACAGGGAGCTCCACCTAAGGCCCCAGTGGGGGTGGCCACATGCGTCCGCCACGCCCAGTACAGTGTGCCGCGGCTTCATAGGGAACTCCACCCAAGGCCTCAGAAGTGGTGGCTACATGCGTCCGCCACACTCAGTACAGCGTTTCGTGGCCCCATAGGGAGCTCCACCTGCGGCCCCAATGGGGGTGGCCATATGCGTCCGCCACACCCACTACAGCGTTTCGTGGCCCCATAGGGAACTCCACGTGAGGCTTCAGCGGGGATGGCCACATGCGACCGCCACACCCACTGCAGAGTTTCGTGGCGCCATAGGGAGTTCCACCTGCGGCCCCAATTGGAGTGGCCATATACGTCCGTCCGCCACACCCACTGCAGCGTTTCGTGGCCCCATAGGGAGCTCCACGTAAGGCCTCAGCGGGGGTGGCCACATGCGTCCGCCACACCCAGTGCAGCGTTTCGTGGCCCCATAGGGAGCTCCACCCAAGGCCCCAGTGGGGGTGGCCAGTCCGCCACACCCAGTACAGCGTTTCGTGGCCCCATGGGGGGCTCCACCTGCGGCCCCAGTGGGGGTGGCCACAGGCGTCCGCCACACCCAGTACAGCGTTTCGTGGCCCCATATGGGGCTCTACCTTTGGCCCCAGTGGGGGTGGACACATGCGTCCGCCACACCCACTGCGGCGTTTCGTTGCCCCACAGGGAACTCCACAAAAAGATCCTGGTGGCACCGCCCGCATGCGTCGTCCACCACTTAGTATTGCATCTCGCGGCCCCATTGACAGGGAGCTCCACCAACCCCCAGTGGCACCGCCCGCATGCGCCCCCCCGCCCCCACCGGGTACAGCGTTTCGTGGCCCCGTTGGGGGCTCCACCCAAGGCCCCAGTGGCACCGCCCGCATGCGTCCCCCCTCCCGTGGCCCCATAGGGAGCTCCACCGAACGTCCCAGTGGCACCGCCCGCATGCGTCGGCCACCACCCAGGACAGCTCTTCGTGGCCCCACAGGGAGCTCCACAGAAAGATCCCAGTGGCAGCGCCCGCATGCGTCCCCCCAACCAGTACAGCGCTTCGCGGCCTCATCGGGAGCCCCAGCGAGGGGCACCGCCCGCATGCGTCAGCCGCGCCCAGGACAGCTCTTCGTGGCCCATAGCAATGTCACCGCCCGCATGCATCACGCACACCCATCTCGGCACACCCCTCACACGTTTCGTGGCCCTACAGGGAGTTCCACCGAAGGCCCCAGTGCCACCGCCCGCATGCGTCACGCACTCCCATGTCGGCACACTCCTCACACGTTTCGTGGCCCCACAGGGAGCTCCACCGAGGGCCCCAGTGCCACCGCCCGCATGCGTCACGCACGCCCATTTCGACACACCCCTCACTCGTTTCGTGGCCCCACAGGGAGCTCCACCGAGGCCCCATGTGCCACCGCCGCATGCGTCACGCACACCCATTTCGGCACACCCCTCACACGTTTCGTGGCCCCACAGGGAGCTCCACCGAAGGCCCCAGTGCTGCCGCCGCATGCGTCCCGCACACCCATTTCGGCACACCCCTCACACGTTTCGTGGCCCCACAGGGAGCTCCACCGAAGGCCCCAGTGCTGCCGTCCGCATGCGTCCCGCACACCCATTTCGGCACACCCCTCACACGTTTCGTGGCCCCACAGGGAGCTCCACCGAAGGCCCCAGTGCTGCCGCCGCATGCGTCCCGCACACCATTTCGGCACACCCCTCACACGTTTCGTGGCCCCAAGGGAGCTCCACCGAGGGGCCCCAGTGCCACGCTTGCATGTGTCCGCACACCCATTTCGGCACCCCTCACACGTTTCGTGGCCCACAGGGGAGCTCCACCGAAGGCCCCTGTGCTACCGCCTGCATGCGTCACGCACACCTATTTCGGTATACCCCTCACACGTTTCGTGGCCCCACACAGAGCTCCACCGAGGGCCCCAGTGCCACCGCCCGCATGCGTCACGCACGCCCATTTCGGCACACCCCTCACTCATTTCGTGGCCCCACAGGGAGCTCCACCGACGGCCCCAGTGCCACCGCCCGCATGCGTCACGCACGCCCATTTCGGCACATCCCTCGCACGGTGCGTGGCCCCACAGGGAGCTCCACCGACGGCCCCAGTGCCACCGCCCGCATGCATCACGCACACCCTTTTCGGCACACCCCTCACACGTGTCGTGGCCCCATAGGGAGCTCCACCGAAGGCCCCAGTGCAACCGCCCGCATGCGTCACGCACACCCATTTCGGCACACCCCTCACACGTTTCGTGGCCCCACAGGGAGCTCCACCGAAGGCCCCTGTGCCACCGCCCGCATGCGTCACGCACACCATTTTCGGCACACCACTCACACGTTTCGTGGCCCCACAGGGAGCTCCACCGAAGGTCCGAGTGCCACCGCCCGCATGCGTCACGCACACCCATGTCGGCACACCCCTCACACGTTGCGTGGCCCCACAGGGAGCTCCACCGAAGGCCCCAGTGCCACCGCCCGCATGCGTCACGCACACCCATGTCGGCACACCCCTCCCACGTTTCGTGGCCCCACAGGGGGCTCCACCGACGGCCCCAATAACTACGTTCGCATGCGCCCACCGCGCCCATTTCGGCACACCCCTCACTCGTTTCGTGGCCCCATAGGGAATTCCACCGACGTCCCCAGTGGCTGCTTTCGCATGCGCCCACCGGACAAATTTTGGCACATCCCTGACAAAGTTCGTGGCCCTATAGGGAGCTCCACCGAATGCGGTGCATACAACGGTATTCACAACTGCATGTGGTTGGGTCCTTCGCCAGGCAAATTAGGGTCTTTGGAGCGTTCAGGAGCACCCTCGTCGCCACGGGTGGGTTCTCCTGGAACTTCTGCTCGGGATGGGCTCTGGGGATCGGCGCTGAGCGCAGTCTGTCCAGACCCCAGGCCTCACAACAAGAGACGACGGGCGGTTTTGTCCTTCATCGGGGCCTCCAGGCGGACGCTGCCAGGGCCCCAGGGCCGTCCAGCGACGACCAGCGGGTGTTGCCAGAGGTGTCCCAAGGCGTTCCCAGGATTTCCAATGTGTTCCCGTGAGTCGGGCCTTCTGGTGCGCCAGATGCTCGGGTGTTTGCCAGAAGCGTCCCTGGCTTGAGGTGTCCCCAGGATTTCTAGGGAGGCACCCGTGGTCTTCAGAACATACATACCTATTCACATACATACATACATACATACATACATACATACATACATACATACATACATACGTACGTACGTACGTACGTACGTACGTACATACATACAAACATACATAAATACATACATACATACATACACACACATACACATACACATACACTCATACATGCAGACACACATACATGCATACATACACACAGCCATACACATATATACATGCATACATGCATGCATGCATCCCAAACTATATTTACGTACATGCACACATGCATGTATACATACATACATGTTTACACATCTACCTACCTACCTACCTACCTACCTACCTACCTACCTACCTACCTACCTACCTACCTACCTACCTACCTACCTACCTACATACACACGTGCACACGTACATATATATGTACACACATACATACACTCATACACGAATCCACACACATACATGCATTCATTCATACGTACATACGAACTTCCATACCTGCATACGTACATACATGCGTACATACACACATACAGAGACATACACATACAACCGTGCATGCATCCATACATACACATTTACATACACACATACATCCATGCATGCATGCATCCATCCATTCATCCACCACTACCATACCATGCCATACCATATCATAGCATACATGCACGCATTCATACACATACATACAGATATACATAATACGTATATACATCCATACATATACATTCATAAACTCACATCTACGTAAACGTACACACATACATACATACATGTGCACACACAAACATACATGCATACACATATACATATATACATACATACACACGTACGTGCATGCATACATGCATTCATGTATGCATAAATGCATACATACATGCATGCATACATACATACATACGTACACATATCCATACACATATAGTTAATCCGCGCAAGGATATATCCATGCTATACGACACACAAGGGATCAACTCATACAATTTTGCATGCCGTGGTATTGAGAACAACGAGGAAAGGCAGATCACAGGAGCGGCCCTTACCATATTCCTGTTCTTGTATTTCTGTTGCCTGGATTCCCCCCCACGCCCCCCTCCCTAAACCAGACCCCCACCAGGGACGCTTCGGACGCCCTTTCGGACGTTTCGGCGGCACCCTGGACGCCCTTAGAAAAGATATCCGGTGGCCCTTCGAGCCTCTCAGGGCGCCTTGCCGGGCCTTGCGAGCAGACTCAAGGCGATCAGAGGGGTCGTCGAGAGGCGCAAGAGAGACCCGCGACAGCACAAGAGCGCTCCAAGAGGAACCTCGATGGTCTGAAGACGGTCCAAGAGGCCTCCAAGACGCCCCAAGAGGCCGTTAATAGAGCCCCGAAGAAGCATAGTTTTTGTTGTGCATATCGGCTTTTTGTGTCTTCTCAGCGTCCAAGACGGCCCGATGCGCCCCCGACATCGCCCCAAGACGGGCCAAGAGACCCCCCAGAGGGCGTGAAGACGGCCCAGAGGGCTCCCAAACTGCCACAGAGAGCCCCGAGACTTCCCACACGAAGCCCAAGATGCCCCCAGAAGGCTCCCAAGAGAGACCCACGAAAGCCATGGAGTACCCCCCAGAGAAGGCCATTGGAGGCCCGCAAGAGGGCCCTAGATGGCTTCTGAAGACCTCTGGAGGGCCCCAGTTCCCCAAGACGGCCCAAGAAGACCCCAGGACGGCCCAAGAGGGCCCCAGGACGGCCCAAAAGAGCCCCCCAAACGCCCAGACGGCGTTCACCTACAAAGTACATCGAGCTGACCCGACGAGCTTGGTTCCACGCTTGGGGCTCGAGGTTTACGCTCCTCGATCGAGAGAGACAGGCAATGGATCTAGATTCGAAGTTCGACGGTCCAAGAAGTCCTAAGTGCCTGGAGCCCTCCAGGCATTCAGGAATCGACCGAACATCGATTTGTTGGGAGCAGCTGCGACTTCTTCGGCGTGCCATGGGAACGCTCATTCCCTCCTCAAAGGACCTTCGCGCGTGAACAAGTCATCATTCCTTCTCCACTCCTGCGCACAAGCGTGCAGAAAAATGAGCCAGTCGCCCGTCCAGGCCTCGAGGTCCCCCTTGCTGAAGCAAGCGATGATTTATTGCTTTGCCGGGGAAGCGTTTGGAACAAGGCGCATAGCGCAAAGCGCCAATGAAGTCTTGAATCTCTCTCTGTCTCTCTCTCTCTCTTTCCCTTTATATATACACACACTGAAACCACCTGCGCGCTTCGCGCGCTTATGTTCTAGTCACGGCTGCGCCACGTTTGCTGCTCTCGTGTTCGCTTGTTTGATCGTCGACGACGACGACGACAGGGGCGGCGACGAGTGACGACGAAGGCGACGACGACGACGACGACGACGACGATTACGGCGATGACGACCGCCACCACCACGACGACGACGTCGACGACCCCTGGAGTAGCCCCGACATCCGGACAACTCCCATAGGCCCGGAGTTTCGTCCTAAATGTTTGACGGTCCAGGGGCCCGTTGGGGGCGTCAGGATGCCGATAGTTGTCCAGAAACTCCGGGATCGGCCAGAGTACCTCAGGGCGTCTGCGGAGAGGGATCTTGGGAGCCTCTTGGGGCTTCCTGGCGGCCCCGTGGGGCCCGCTTGGGCGTTTTTTCGAGCGCTCTTGGAAGTTTCTTGGGGTCTCTGGGGTGCTTTTTGGGGAGGATGGCTCGAAATGTCGGGTGGGGTTACTCCTCGGGGCTGTGTGGGGAAGCTGTCCGAGGGCCCTCTGGGACCGTCTTGGGGCCCCCTGGACAGTCGAGGGCCCCTCTCGAGCCGTCTTGGAGGCCTCTGGGAACTCTCTTTGGCCGTCTTGGGGCGATGTTGTGGGCTCCTGGAGCAGTCTTCGAGGCGGTCGACGCCGAAGCGGTGAACATCGTAGAAGTATACGTTTTCCGAAGGGAATTGGGCCATTTTTGCTTCTGGATGCGCTCTTGGGAGTCCTCGTGGGGGACTCGTGGGCCGTCGTGGGGGCTCCGGGAGGCCGTCTTAGAACCATCGTTTGCGTTTTGGAGCGACAGTTCGGGGATTCTGGGCCGTCTTGGACGTTTGGAGCCCTCCTGGGACTCTCGGGTGTCGTTTCGGGGCTGTCTGGGGCGTTCTCGGGGGGGGCCCAGAGGCCCTCTGGGGCCCTCGGGACCGTCGTGGGGGCCTCCTGGATAGTCGAGGGCTCCTCTGGAGCTGTCTTGGAGGCCTCTGGGAACTCTCTTTGGCCGTCTTGGGGCGATGTTGTGGGCTCCTGGAGCAGTCTTCGAGGCGGTCGCCGCTGAAGATGTGAATATCGTAAAAGTGTACGTTTTCCGATGGGAATGGGGCCATTTGTGCCTCTGGAGGCGCTCTTGGGAGTCCTCTTGGGGAACTCTTGAGCCGTCGTGGGGACTCCCGGAGGGCGTCTGGGAGCCATATTCGGCGTCTTGGAGCGACGATTCGGAGATTGTGGGCTCTCTTAGACGTTTGGAGACCTCTTGGGACCCTCGGGTGGCGTTTCGGGGCTGTCAGGGGCTGTCTAGGGGAGGCCCAGAGGCCCCGGTCCTCCCATGCCCCCCCGTGGCCCAGGCCCCGGGCGCCCAGGCCTCGTGCACGGGGATCTATGTATATGTGTATGTATATGTATATGTATATGTATATGTATGTATGTGTGTGTATGTATGTATGCATGTATGTATGTATGTATGTATGTATGTATGTATGCATATATGTATGTATGTATGTATGTATGTATGTATATATGTACGTACGTACGTACGTACGTATGTATGTATGTATGTATGTATGTATGTATGTATGAATGTATATATATATATATATATATATCTATGCATGCATGCATGCATGCATGCATGCATGTATGCATGTATGCATGTATGAATGTATGTATGTATGTATGTATGTATGTATGTATGTGGGTATGTAGGTATGTAGGTATGTAGGTATGCATGCATGCATGCATGCATGCATGCATGTATGTATGTATGTATGTATGTATGTATGTATGTATGTATGTACATATCTCTCTCTATATATTTATTTATACATACGTGTATACACATATACATACACATCTATTCATACATACAAGCATACATCCATCCATACATACATACATGCATGCATGTATACATACACACAAACATGCGTACATACTTACATACATACATACATACATACATACATACATACATGCACACATACATACATACAGACATACATACATACATACATACATGCATGCATGCATGCATGCATGCATGCATGCATGTACGCATGCATACATGCATGCATGCATGCATACATACATACATACATACATACATACATACGCACGCACGCACGCACGCATGTACGTACGTACGTACGTACGTACGTACACACATGCATACATACATGCATACATACGTACATACATGCACACACACATACATACATGCATACATACATACATGCATGCATGCCTGCATGCATGCATACATACATACGTACATACACACACACGTATATATAATATATATATATATATATATATATATATTATATATAGAAAAATAAGTCACGAGGGCGTTTGTTCGTCGTTTTCGGCCTCTGGGGGCCCTTGCGAGGACCCAGGGCCGTCAGACACGACTCAGGATAAAAAGCTGGCCCAAGGGAATGAGACGGGGACTTCCGGAGCCCCGCATGGAAAAAATCAAGACGTCGGATCTTTTGGTGCCAGTGGCAGGGGCGGGCGTGGTACACAGACCCTTCCCCTGGCTACCCCGCACTTGTCCCCGGGGTGGTCGTCGGCGGCCCATGGGGCTGATGTCAGCGTGTAAACGTCTTTAGGGCTTCTTCTTCTTCTTCTCCTTCTCCTCCTCCTCCTCCACCTCACTCGTCCTCCCTCATAGTCTTCTCCCCAGATCCCCGGTTGTGGTGTTTTTACGATGCGGGCCCCCCAGAGCCCTCGACCTCATGCCCGTCACTACTTTTCCGCCGCTAGTCGCTTCTTGATGGCCCCGGGGCCCGCGAACGGACCCCAGAGGCCCAGACTGTGTATGAAGAGTCCGTCGGAGGTCTGGGCCCTCCCTCGCTGTTCCCCAGGTCGCACGAATCAGCTCAAGAGATCAAGTTGGACGAGCTGCCCGAATACAAGGACCAGGGCTGGCAGCACCTCTTCCAGTTCAAGCTGCGCGACGACAACAGCGCCGCTCCAAACACTGCCTACTTCGTGGCCCCAGAGGTGCACGACGAGGGGTGGATCGATTCACTCCTTATGCTTCTCCCCCTCCTCCTCCTCCTCCTCCTCCTCCTCCTCCTCCTCCTCCTCCTCCTCCTCCTCCTCCCCTTCCTTCGCCTCCTCCTCCTCCTCCTTCTCCTGCTCCTTCTCTCCCCCAGCCCTCCCCCTCTTCTCCCTCCCTCTCCAGAGGTGCACGACGAGAAGGAGACTGTCAACACATCGGTGAGACTCGTGACCAGCTTCCTCGCGGAGAAGGGCACCACCGCGGACGACGTGCTGGTGCTGGGCTTGATCGGCAACCACTACAACCACGGCCTGACGGTGTTTCAAGAGTTCGTGACCGCTCTCATCCAGAAAGTGCCGACAAAAAGAGCAAACTGCATAAACATACATTTTCGGAGCTCCGCGCGGATTTCTTGGATCTGCGCTGGCCCCACCTGGCGGCGTCTCCAGTCCCGCCCCTGGCACGGTCCGCGCGCCAGGGAGGGGGGCCCAGCGCCGATCCACAAAATCAGCGCGGAGCCCCGAAGTTTATGTTGATGCAGTTGTTCTTCTGTTCAGGTGGTGAACCCCTTTCCTGGTCGCGTTGTCCTGCTCGGCTACAGCCCACAGCACTTCGCAGGCTCGGAGGTGTGCAGAAATGGGGGAGGAGTAGCGCGAGGGGGTCTGCCATCTGAGAGTGCGGTGGGTCTCTCAGAGGTTCTTCATGCCTTCTATTACCACCTTGAAGCGTATCCCTATCCTTGTGTTTGGCATCACCTTACCTCGGTGCCGATCTGAAGGATTCCCGCAGATGCTGAGGGCACATCCCCAATGACTGTCGTCGCCGTGGGGCTCCCAATCTGAGGGATGGGGACCAGTTCGGGGCTGGCTATTGTAAGGCTCCCTCTCAGACGCTTTCGATCCCCTCTTTGCAGGCCCCTCGGCCTCCTCTTCGAAGGGCGCCCCCCCCCCCCGCCAAAAGCCCCCCTCCCCGTCTGCGCGCCGCCCGGCAGGCGGCGGGCACTTCAGCAGCGGCGGCGTCAAGGAGTGCGCCCCGAACCAGCTCCCGAGCGACGTCGACATGCCCCGCAACTCGTTCCGCAGCGCCATCTTCCTGCGCAGCGTGTGGGCACATCTCGGGGGCCGCTCGAGGCGTCCCCGGCCCCAGGGCGCCCCCAGCTTCTCGCTCCAGCTTTCGGGGGGGGGCTCCTGGGGCCTCTGGGCCTCGTGAGAGGGGTGCGCTGGAGGCCGTGGGGGCCTCCCTGGAAATCCTGGGGGCACCCTGGGCCGGGGGCGCTTCAGCAATCACCCGGACATCTGGCGCACCAGAAGGCCCGACTCGTGGACTTCAGCGAGATGCTGAGCCCGCTTTGGAACTGCCACCGCAACGCGGGCGACTGCACCCACTGGAAGGACACCGTCATTACCCTCCAGGCGGGGGTGCGGCAGAGTTCGCGTCGTATCGATGCGGCAGCACGCCCGCCGCCGATCGTTCAAGGTTGAACGATCCACGCGGTGTCAGAAAGCAGCGCCGGGCTTGTCATAGCGCGAACCTGCCTGCCGTAGACCAGAGCGGTGCTCCTGGGCAATCTCGTCGATTGGAGCCGGCTGGGGGTATGAGGTGGCCCAGCATTGGTTCCGTCCAGCAAGAAGGGCGGGAGTGTCGAGGCTCTGGATTTGAGAAGAGAAGGTCTCTTGCCTCGACCGTGAGAGACAGATCCGGGCGGAGCACCTGCGCCAGCAGAACCCTGGGAGGGGTCCAGAGGCCGATTCTGAGCGGCTGTGCCCTTTTGTCCCCCCCGCCTTGACCGGTTTTCTCGGGGCCCATCGAGTGCAGACCAGACGCCCCGGCCGCCTCCAGCTCGTCGCGCGGTCTCGTTCTCGCCTCGTTCTGGAGGCGCACCGTTCGGGTGTTGCTAGAAGTGCCCCTGGCCCAAGGTGCCCCCAGGATCGCCAGGGAGGCCCCCACGGCCTCCAGAGCACCCCTCACGAGGCCCAGGGGGCTCCAGAGGAGGGCGAAGAGCTGGGGGGCACCTTGGGCCGGGGCACCTTCAGCAACCCCGACCCAGGCGCAGCTCATCCTCAACGCCCTGCAGAAGATCAACTGAGCGACTGAGCGGCCGCTCCCCCCCCCCACCCCACGTCCTTCTCCGCCGTCCTCCTCGGACCTCCGCCTCCGCCTGGGCGGATGCCGGGCAGGGTCTCGGCGAAGTGAAGTGTTCAGGAGGGCAAAAAACACACAGACACAATGAATCGTCGATTTCCAGGAAAATATCGGGAAATATGGGAAGTGGGGGGGGGCGGAAGACGAAAGCCCAATATATATATATATATATATGTATATCGGAAAAAATGGTGAATCCTGGGATTGGTGTTTTTTATTGGTGCGTCCCTGAGCCCCTTGAAGTGTGTGTGTGTGTGTGTGTGTGCATGTGAGTGTGGCGCGCCCTCGCTGCGGCCGCGGCAGTGGTGGGGCAGGGGTCGATGCCGTGATGCCCAGGCGTTGGCTGGGGGTCGGGAGCTGATCGCCGATCCGTGCATGCCCGGGTGGCCGGGGACGCCCCCGGCGACCTGTCTGCGGTTCCGCGCGTGCTCGTGCGCGGGTTGTGGCGAGCGGCGCCGCTCCTCGTGCGGCTGTGCTTTTTCTCCGTCTGCTCTCCCGGCCGCCGTCTATTGATGCCATTTGGGCAGGCGGCGGCTTTCTCGCTGCTTCCCTCGCGAGGCCCGCGTCTCGGAGCTCGGGGCGTCGCGGCCGGCGTTCTCCCCGCGGGCGCTCTTGCAGTTTCAGGTGGGACCTGCGGGGGCCCGAGCAGTGACGAAAACTTCACGTCGAACGATGTGGTCGCGAGTCGCCATAAGCATGCGCTAAGCTCGAATCTCGCCCTCCTCGTCTGCCTCGGCGCCTTCGCCGCCAGAGCCTCCTCCCGCTCCCGCTCCCCTTCCCGTTCGTTCTTTCCCCCTCCCCCGAGCTCCCCTTCTCCTGATGATGATGATGATGATGATGATGATGATGATGCTGGTGGTTGTGGTGGTGGTGGTGGTGATGGTGAGGCTGAGGATGCTGCTGCGGATGATGGCCATGGTGATGGTAATGGTGGCGGTGATGATGATACTGATTGTGGTGAGGACGATCATACTGATGATGCTGATGCTGCTGCTGATGATGATGATGGTGACGATGATGCTGCTGCTGATGTTGTTGCTTTGCTGATGTTGCTGCTGCTGATGATGTTCATGATGGTGAGGATGAGGATGATGGTGCTGATGCTGATGCTGATGCTGATGCTGGTGATGATGATGATGATGATGATGATGATGATGATGATGATGATGATGATGATGATGATGATGATGATGATGATGATGACGACGACGATGATGATGATGATGATGATGATGATGATGATGACGGTGCTTGTGATGATGATGCCTGTGATGATGATGATGATGCTGATGGCGATGCTGATGCTGATGATGATGATGATGATGCTGCGGTTGATGATGATGCTGCTGGTATGATGATGCTGCTGATGATGATGATGATGTTGATGATGATGCTATGTATTATGTTGATGATGATGATGCGACGATGACTAGGATTCTGAGTATGACGGTGACGATTATGCTGCTGTCAATGCAAAGTCAGGATTGCAACCATGACGACGAACGACGAAAACGACGAGGAGGAGGAGGAGGCGGAGGGAGGGAGGGAGGGAGGGGGGGAGGAGGGTGGGAGGGAGGGAGGAGGGAGGGAGGGGGGAGGAGGAGGATGATGATGATGATGATGATGATGATGATGATGATGATGATGATGATGATGATGATGATGTGATGATGCTGCTGCTGCTGCTGCTGCTGCTGGAGGATGAGGAGGAGGAGGAGGAGGAGGAGGAGGAGGATGAGGAGGAGCGGAGGAGGAGGAGGAGGAGGAGGAGGAGGAGGAGGAGGACGAGGACGAGGAGGAGGAGGAGGAGGAGGAGGAGGAGGAGGAGAAAGGAAACGGAGGAGGAGGAGGAGGAGGAGGAGGAGGAGGAGGAGGGGCCGCTGCTGCCGCCTCCCATGGGGCCGTCGGCCTGGCCGATGGCCTGGTGCCCGGGCTGGGCCAGCGGCTGGAGGGCGGGTAGCTCGCTCTGTCCTTGCTCCTCCCCCCCTCCTTGTGCATCGTGCTGCGCACCCCTCGGGATCCGTCACCCATGTATGGGTAAGACCAGAAAAGGAGGGGGACCATAGTAAACCAAAAGATGTATAAACTATTCTGCAAAGCACCCGCCCGTGCCAAGTTCCCTCATACGCCCCTGCGCGTCTTCCTTGTCACACAACAAACGCCCCACTCGAACGACCATCACTATTGGGCCTGCCATTGTGGCGAGAGCCCCACTTAGAAAAGCGGCTGCCTTGTATGTTTCTGGCGCCTATCCAGGAACGCGGAACGTACTGATCATACAATTCAGCGAGGTGTCCAGCGATATCTCCCTTTCGGTCAAGACCGCCCCTCATCCGTGTGACTGTTGCACAAGGTTATCCTTGTGGTGATGATCTTCGAGGAAGGCTCAAGCGACAACTCCATCCAGAAACAAGAGCAGCCATGAATCCGTGCAGCGCAACTTGCGTTGGAGTTTCGGGCATTTG